TACTACTTCTGAAAAAGTGTGCATGAACACGAAAGCTTTGTTGGTCTTAATAAAGAATAAAACTTTGTTGGTCTTAAAAGTGCCACTGGACTCAAACTTTATTCTGCTAGCTCTAATTCAGACTTATTGTATACCCATTTCCTTTTCTGTTTGCACTAGATGTTGTGTGACTGATTTCTGAGCACTGTTACCTAGAGGAAGGAAAGCGCAAAATGTTGCACAAGATCTCGGAACTGCACTAAATCCGCTTATGTTTCCACTTGCAAATTGCTGGATCTAAGCCATTGACTTGTAAGGGAGAACCAGCTATTAGCATTAGGACAGGAATTATCAGCCTCTTCCCTTTCTCGTGGCATTTGTACATTTTTCCTGTTGCTCTTGAGGAATTGTATGTTCACAGCCTTACATCCCAGTCCTATGGTTGTTTAATTGGAAGTAGATTCCACAGAGGAGGAGGAGATGGAGATGATTGGATTTATAACAATACTAGGAGCAAGGCCCGTTGCAGAGACAAATGAAATGAGCTCTAGCTGGTCCACCGCTCCGGCATCCTGGCTCTCGCTGCCAGGGTCAGGCAGGAGGAGGCATTTGGTGTGGAGGTGGGTCTGCAGCATGGAGGCCTTGTGGTGTGTTTGGCGGGGGTGCTAGCGGCAGGGTGCAGCATGGAGTGATGTCAGAGGCGCTTCATGTGAGGCAGACGACTGACAACAGGGCTGCTGGCAGAGGAGTGGCCTCCTGGCACAGCAGCAGCTGCTGCCCCGCGCCCACTTTCTCCTCGGCTGCTTCTGAGGCCGATGGTGCCTCAGCGCAGTTGGCCCATGCCATGGAGCGGTTGTGAAAGCAGGCAGGCAGAAAGAGACGCCGGTCTCCAGCTCCTCAGGGCTGTGCGTGAGGAAGAAAGAGGAGGCCAAGCATGGCAGGGCTGGGCTGAAGCGGCGCTGGGGCATCAAGACGCCCGGGCAGCCATCGACGTGGGAGTACCCTGCAGGGACCCCCGTCTGCTCAGCTGCCACAGAGACAGCCGCCTCAGAGGTCCGAGGGTTGTCCCTGCTGGGTAACAGAGGCCAAAGCCAAGGGGGTGGCAGAGGGCCCCCCTGAGCACAGGAGGGAGCCCATTGGGTGGCATTTCTCTTCCCGCCCAGGTGTCCAAATGTTTTTGGCCTCTCACTCCTCTTCCCTACATTTCCCGGTCAGCCTGCTCACCCTCCGGCCGCCGGAGTGTCCATCCTGTGGGCTGGCTCAGAGTACACTGAGCCCGAGACACTGGCGGCTGCCTCTGTGGGTGGGATGGAGGTAAGGGAGCCAGCCAGTGCAGCCAGGGGATTCTTCAGAGTGGCAGGCGAGGGAGCCAGAGGCTGCAGGAGCGTGTGCAGGGGTCACACCAAAACTCTTTTATATATAAGGATATATATATTTGGGGAAATGCTAGGTAAAGTAGTGCCAGAGAAATTATTCCAGACCATCTGTTCATGAGGGAACCATCAGCACCTCATGATCTCAGGTATATATGGGTTTGGCAGTCGTAAATTAATAATCAGGTAGGAGTGATGAGTTATAGTTTTATTAGAAAATATTACCTCATTTAATTGCAATTTTGTAATTGTTCCAGGTGTTGCCATGTGTTTGCAGCACACAACAAAAAGCATAAAATATTACTTCAGATTTGCCCAAAAAAAATGTAAAAACTACTTTAACCTATGATAAAGTTAATCTGCGGAGAGTATATTTTTCTACAAGTTATGTCCTACCAGCTAATCTAGGTAGGCTGCACTTAGACATGATACTGGTTTATAAACCATGATTATTTGATGAAATCCGGGTTCTTTGTGATGTATGAATACAGGTGCTTCCAACAAACCAAGGTTTGGTAACGAATGGTGCCAAAACAGGATTTTGAATAAGGGTTTTCCAGTAGTTTGTAAACCAGAGTTGTAATAACTGTCGGCTGTTGTGGTCAAATTCACAAACCGCAGTTTGGCTTTAATCGTAAAGACCCTTTTCTGGTATTAAGCCCCACTGCATAACACAGGATTTACTTCTGAGTAGATCTGTTTAGGGTTCCTGGATTTATTACTTGCGTAGATTTATTAGCTTGTACCCAAACCATGGTTTAAACAACCCACATTAGGGTTGCCAGCCTCCAGGTGGGGCCTGGGGATCTCCTGCTTTTACCCCTGATCCCCAGCCGACAGAGATCAGCTCCCCTGGAGAAAATGGCTGCTTTGAAGGGTGGACTCCATGGCACTGTACTATGCTGAGGCCCCTCTCCTCCCCAAACCATGTCCTCTCCTGGCTCCACCCCCAAAGTCTCCAGGTATTTTCCATCCCAGATTTGGCAACCCTAACCCACATTGTATTGCAATGTCTGAATGCAGCCATAGGCTTTTATACAGCCAAAAAGTTGAAAATTCTGTTATTCAAAAAAACCAACAATCCACTTTTCCATGTTCTCTTGCATAAAAATCCATTCTTTGAAACATCCTTGGGGGCAGGGGGTGGCTGCTTTTTGTAAAAAAAAAATAATACGTTTTATTCAGAAACAAAAAGGTCCATAAGAACGGGAAGTCTTGTTTGAAAAGAAGAAATGGAAGAGATTAATGATTTGGGTGTAACTCTTTAAAACTTCCTCTTGGAATTGAAAAGGAAGGGAGTTCCCTCATTTCAGCCAAATGTTCCATGTTAACTTCATTTTTTTTTTCTTCCGCTGAGCTATGATTCACCTGGCAGAGCTTGAATCCCAGGTGGGAAATCCTCAGCGAAATCATCAGTGTGCCACTGAAGTCTGAAATGCAAATTTAGTGTGGGGAAAAAATTAGGAAAGTGATCAAAGAAATTAAAAACAAATATCAGAATATCATAACATCAGCATTTAAGTAATAAGCTTATGCTTATATGGCAGGGTTTTCCCCCAATGCTTTAAGCACTTTTTAGATGTTGTCTTATTGATTTTTACAATACCTCTAGAAGGTAGGTCAGTATTACTATTCCACTGGCAGGTAGGGAGTTGACCTTGAGAGATACAAGCTTTTTGAAACACTAAATATAACTTACCTACATCCTGACTTGATTACGGTGTTTGTTACCCCATTAAGGTTAGTAGCAGCCAGTGCAATGTAGTAGACTGAGATAAAAGGAGACCATCAATAATCACTCTAAGCTGTCGAGTCTTGTGAGCAAAAATTCTGCTTTGTGAGCTACTGGCATTAAAGTTGTGAGCAAGCAATTTGGCTACTGCATCTTACCTACATCCTGACTTTATTACGGTGCTTGTTACCCATTAAGGTTGGTAGCAGCCAGTGTTATGTAGTAGACTGAGATAAAAGGAGACCGTCAATAATCACTCTAAGCTGTAGAGTCTTGTGAGCAAAAATTCTGCTTTGTGAGCTACTGGCATTAAAGTCGTGAGCGAGCAATTTGGCTACTGCATAAATTAGTTTACTCTGGAGCCCTCCTTCCTGAGCTAAGACAAAAATATGTGAACCAGGGGCTAAAAAACTGTGAACTAGCTCACACTAACTCAGCTTAGAGGGAAAACTGGAGACCGCTAATAACAAATTTGTAAGCATACAAATTGACCTTGAGTTTCATGTACAGTGACTATGCGGACCTGTTTGCACAGAAGTGAAAAATGTATGTGGACTTTTAAAAGCGAAGTGTATTGAATTGTAGATGTGAAGGGGGATCCAAGTTTTGAGGAAGGAGATTAAAAGTTGCTTGCTGGACAGGAGGGAGTTGAAATTACCAAAGAGACCAGATGGAAGTTGGAAGGGCAAGTGTGCTTTACTGGGCTATCCCTCAGCACTGTTGCCATGGGAAAGGGAAAGTCCCTCACATTGAAAGACCTTTCAGTCAGAAGGGGTCAAAGGCCCTTGGCATCTTCTTAAAAGGTTGTTACCATAACACCAATTCAGGAAGCTGGCGCTTCCACAAAGCATTCTAAGCTTCTGCTGCCACCTACAGACTCTATAGGTTAAGCATTAGAAACAAATGTGGTTATATTGCACTGGATGGGGGGGGGGGATAAACATGAAGCCCAGAATTTATAGTTTTAAAAAAATAATGAACCCACTTGGTTGAACTGAGGCTGAAAGTGGCTTGCTCAAGTCCACAAAATGATTGTATATGTGAGACATAACTTTATCAATATGAAGTCCAGCATTCTAACAGACTGCACCATCATTGTTGTTGTTATTTTAATGTGTCAGAAGCTATAGCTGATCCTATTGACTGTATGGTTTCCCAAATGTGTATTATCCCAGATCAGTAGAAATAACACCTGAGCCAGGGATGAGAGAAGGGGGGAGAAGGCAGTCTGCCAAATTTCAATTCGATTCGCCACTAGGTTCACTTCTAATAAAAATATGGTTGTTTTCAAATATTGTAAGAGTCAGGACAGAGTCAGCGTTGCCATAAGTTGGCTCTAACTTGACGGAACTTTCCACCACCACACATGAAGAAGAAGAAGAGGGGTAGGAGGAGATTGAATTTATACGCCACCCTTCACTCAGAGTCTCAGAGCAGCTTACAAACTCCTTTCCCTCCCCCTCCCCACAACAGGCTGAGAGAGCTCTGAGAGAACTGCTCTTTCAAGGACAGCTCTGACAGAACTATGACTTGCCCAAGGTCATCCAGCAGCTGCAAATGGAGGAGTGGGGACTCAAACCCGGTTCTCCCAGATTAGAGTCCGCACACTTAACCACTACACCAATCTACATCAAACTCTAGGACATTTGAAGCCAGTTTACTGTGGATTATGACTGTATTGTAAAGCCTGAGTACATTAATTAGGCATTGACTTGTGCAGAAAAGTGTACTTGTTGCCTCTCAAGACACATGGCTGTCTGAAGATCAGAAGCTGCCTACTCTTCACAGAGACTACGGAGTTTGGCCATTCCTGAGCTCACCTGTTTCTTACCCGAGGCAGTGTTCTTTTTACACATCTGCAGCTTTAACACAAATAAAAGGCAAGCTGTTGTGTTTTTTCCTCCCCCTTTCCCCAGAGTACAAGGCAAGCTACATTCGGAGTCGCGCAATTCGCTCTGTGTCTGTTGAACTGGATGGAGAGGTCTATAATTTGGATTTGGAAGATGGCTACCAGCCCGTTTTGCCCAGTAATATCACAAACACGCTCAAAGAAGTCAAGGGTGCTGAAGGAGATGATGAAGATGACGACAAGGATGCAGGAGAATACAGCGGTACTGGTGGGATTTTAGAGAATACAGCCCCTAACTTAATCAAAGTGACTCACAGGTAAGGATAATTAAGCTTATTTAGATGGATTAGGATTGTCTTTTGTTGTTGTTGTTGTTTGTATTATTTTTGTTGCCCTGACCTGGATGGCATACTGTCAGATCTCGAAAGTTAATTAGGGTTGGCCCTGGTTAGTACATGGACAGGAGACCACCAAGGAAGTCTAGGGTTGCTACTCAGAGGCAGGCAATGGCAAACCACCTCTGTTTGTCTCTTACCTTGAAAACCCTGTAGGGTTGCCATAAGTCAACTGCGACTTTACAGCACTTTCCACCAATGCTCCCTCTAAGCTGTGGAGTCTTGTGAGCAAAAATTCTACTGTGTGAGCTACTGGCATTAAAGCTGTGAGCGAGCGATTTGGCTACTGCATAAATTAGTTTGCTCTGGAGCCATCCTTCCTGGGTGAATTCAGAAATGTTTAAGCTGGGGGCTAACAAACTGTGAGCTAGCTCACACTAACTCAGCTTAGAGGGAACACTGCTTTCCACCACCATTATTTGTATAGCATTATCAGCACGTATAGTACCTTACAGAGTGATATACTCCAAATCAGTTCTGCCCTAAAGAGCTTAGGATCTAAATTTGGGTAATATGAAGGGAGGGGGGAAAAAATCAGAACTACAGACCACTGCTTCCTTCATCTAGGGGATTTGAACCCATAACCCCAGTGGGTCCAAAATTAGAATGAACACAAACATTAAGCAAGTGAGCCCATGTTCCTGTCCAACTTGTGTGGGTGACAAACACCTGGGGAGTTTGCTGCCTTATAACCTTTAGGTATCACAAAAGTATATGAGTGTTGCACAGGCTACATGGAGATGCAGTTTGCTTCCTGGACACCTTCATGACAGTGCAATAAAGTCACTATAACTTCCAGGGACATTTCACCTCATTCTTCCTAAACTCTTTGGTTAACACACCAACTATGTAAAGTTGGACTGAAATCATCAAAATGCAAGGAAAGTACTGTGCATAGAGCCAGTACTGTGCAAAGATGAATCAGCAACCTCTGCTTCCTTTTGTAGGTGGATGCAGAAAGCGGTAACAAAATACAAAGCAGGGTCTCCCATGAAAACTGAGATGTTGAAACAAAAGCTGCTGAGTGTGATTGGGACATTTCTGCTTTTCAGTGCAATGTCTCGATTCTAGTTATTTTCAAAACAGAGGGGAAAATGCAGGAGACTAAGATCTCTCTACTGTGCCAATTAATATATTCCACCACAACTCTTAAGCCCAGTTTTGTGTCCATAGTGTGGTCACTTCCAAGGCAGAGGACCCTGTCATCCAACTTTAATTACACTACTACTTGAAGAATCCTCATAAATGTCCTACTTTCTTCTAAAATGAGTTATTGGAATCATTTGGCTGTGCTTTCTGTGCTGGCTAGCTCAAAGTCCATTTTCTCTCTTTTCTGTTTTTTTCCTGCACAGGTGCTACATTCTAGAGAATGACACGGTTCAGTGCGACACAGATCTGTACAAGTCACTGCAAGCCTGGAAGGACCATAAACTTCATATAGACCACGAGGTTAGTGATTCTAACAGCTGCCTGCCAACTGGTGATGGTGATCACTGCTTTAATTTCATTCCTAAATGACGAAGCAGCAAGATTCTTTCTGAACTGATTGTTTGAGGCTTTGAACTACATCCCCCCCAGATGCTAGTGACCTCATTTTGTAGGCTGAAGGTCACAGCCACAGAGAGGCTTCCACTTTTAAACTGTGGGCTACCTCTTTTTATTCTAAAAAGTGGCCATTTAATTTATTTATATCCTGCTTTTGTCTCCAATGAGGACCTCAAATAAGCTTACAACAAATAATAATAAATAATAATCTTTCAATTTATTGATTGCTCAATCCTTGCAGAGCTGCCGGCTCTGAGCGATTTACAGTTACTCATGAATTCACACGGGACTAACAATGATAGGGGTAAGGGAGGACGACATATATCTTTTTAATTCACACACATTTTCGCAGTCGATGGGGAGTTTGGTCAGCTGTAAGCTTCAGACGTGTTCCGGCAGCATTCTCACTTGGCATTGCTTGATGTCGTCAGCATTTTTCTCAGTCACAGCGCAGCACTGCCACCGTCTGGCCGGAATGGCCCATTACAGGCCACTTTGATGCTGCGTAGATCTCTCTCGGCTTTTGATCTTACGCGCGGACCTTCCGCTCGTCGGCTAACACCACTTTCCCTTCCTTCATCTTATCCTTCCAATAGCCTTGTGAGGTTGCCTAGGCTGAGAGAGAGTGGCTGTTCCAAGGCAAGCTTCCATGGCAGAGCAGGTGTTACTAACTTGGGTCTCCCAGATCCTACTCTGACACTCGATCCGCTACAACAAGCTGGTTGTCTTGCTAGTTAAAAGGATGGAGCAATAAATAGCCAGCCATCAGCTTTTTAAATTAACCTCTGTGAAAGGTAATCAGCAACACGTCACTAATTGTTTTGAAAGAGATAATACTTTAAGAAATACTACCCACTCCCAGTTTCCATGCTTGGGGGGGAAAATGGGTTGGGTCCAATGATCCATCAGCAGAAGTCGCTGACCTTTCCCACTTGCCCCTGGGAAGTTGGCTCCCAAGGTCACATGGGACCTGTGTGGATTAACAGCCTCATAGTTTGATGGGCTGCGACAAGGAAGGAGCTAAATTGTCTCTCTCCTCTGTAATTGTGCAATTTATCACTGCAGATCAACAACCCACATAGCTATTAATTCACATAGGTCCCATGACTCCACGAATCAACTTTCCTGGGGCAGAAAGGACTGCTGGGGGAGAGGGAAATGTTGGAAAGGTCTATGGATTTTGTGTGAACAGATCTCTCTGTTCACACCCCCATATTTTTCCATATCAATCTAGGCCATTGTTGACTGCATAACTTACTGCAGCTCTCTAAGGGTCTGAGCTTTCCCAGGTGATGCAATTAAATTTTATATGCCAGAGTTCAAACTTGGACTTATCACCCACAAAGCACAGCTCCACCACTCAGGCAGCTTCCCTCTACATAAAGACAAACAAAAATGAAGCTCTTGTTATAACTCCAGACATGGGTATTGCTTGGTAAGAGTGCATCCATGACTTTTGTTTAAGGGAATATGACGTGACAGTCTTCCCTCTGTCTGAAAAGAGAAGCCACAAACGACCATTTCAGCAACAACAACATAAGTTAAAGACAACTGTTCCAAAATTCTCAACAAGTTAAGAGCAAGTATCCTGTCGTTTCCTCTTGCAATTCATTGATGACTATATACTCAGTCAGAGGTCATTTCGGGGGGGATCGTGGGGGAACGCAGTTTCCCCGGGTGAGGTGCGGGGGGCGGGGCACACAACGAAGCCCTGCCCCCTGCTTCCAGCAGCCCTGCTTCCGGCCCTCATTCAGCCAGGAGGAGGAAGGAGAAGAGGGAGGGTAAGTTGCTTCCTCCCCGCCTCTCCCCACCCCTGCCTGCCTGGGGCCAGGGAGGGCCTTGGCGGGGCTTCCTCGCACTCACGCCGGCCTTGCAGGTCCACCACTGGGCCTTATGATGTCAGGGGGTGTGGCATATGATAATGAGTTATGCTAATGAGTTTCCCTAGCTCTTTTTCTACGAAACGACCCCTGTACTCAGTAGAACGCAAATCTGCCTAACCAGTGATGGGCCTATAGCTGTTCTGTCCTCAGTACCATGATGGAATTAAGGAGGCCCCATCCCAATAGGACAGCCAGCCAAGGAAGTTAGGCTTCTGCCTAGAAATTACTCTTACTTCTTCCGCACTTCCAAACATCCATCCCTTAACAGGGTTAGGAAGCAAGGAGGTTGACTTCAGCCTTGCTTTCTGCCTAAAGTGGTTCTCTTATGTTTGGTGCAACACTGTAGACCTCCTGCTCTTTCCTGAATAGAAGGAAATGCAACAGGAAGCTGCACGGTGGGTATGTAGAAAAATTTAAAGGCTGTGAAAGTGCCATATGGAAAAGTGAACGAAATACAGCCCAGTCACTGGAAGCATTCTCTCTGTGTTCTGACTTCCTTTTAGATCGAAACACTGCAAAATAAGATAAAGAATCTGAGGGAAGTAAGAGGTCATCTGAAGAAGAAGAGACCAGAAGAGTGTGATTGCAACAAGATAAGGTATTCCCTTCCACACACATTGGGAAAGCAAGACTTCATATGCTGTTTACAGTTGTTCAGAGTCTCGTAGGCCAGAATTCAGTCATTGCATCCTCCATGTTCTTTTATCACAGCTGTGGCCCATTGCACTGGTCATGTGAACTCGTTAAAATCTGGGGACAAATCCTTATACAGCAGATGAAAAGCTAAGCCTGTGCTTGGACTATACTATTTCAGTCAGCAGGTGGGTGATCAGAAGATTTGCAGTGCCGTCCAATGCAGAGTTATTCAGAGTTATGCAGGGGATACAGTTAGACATGAAGGCGAATGCCGGTTGGACCCAGGGACAACAAGGCCCTTTTAGTGCCCAACTGGAGGTTTTTAAACACTTCAAAGGCCCAATCCTGATCGCGCCTTCAGCATTGCATGTCAGGGTCAGGCATTCGTGTTCCCTCCCCCCCCCCACGCACATTTTTTCAAGTGCTGAAACAGCCATAAAGGGGGGGGCAGTTTGGCACTTGGGAAAGCATGAATGACAGGAAATTGTTGATCATGACCTACCCCTCAAAGCTTTGTAAAATCTCCCGTTAGGTACTAAAATGGCGGTGGTGGCCCAAGTTCCAACCTGGGAATGCTGTTCATGTCTGTTTGCAGCCTAAGCCTATTGATTTTAGTGGATTTAGAGTGGAGTAATTTAGCATAGGATTGCATTGCATGTATTCCTTCATACAAAAAAAAGACTCAATACATAAATCTTATCACGTAACTGGACATAAGTGATTGTGCCGAAACCTTTCTGTTTGGCACCCAGCATTTTTGTGAGTAGCAGGGATCCTTCTGAAAGGACACAACTGTTTTATCACCTCATGTATTCGGTATTAAAACTAGTTGCAGCGTGAACTGTCCTTGCTATAACACTTGGTGAAGCTTTCCTCTTGTTGTGTGGACACAAAGGCCAGAAATTCCAGAGAAGGGCGATTTCTTAGGCAGAACATTATACAAAATCTCTGGGCCACGCAACAGCCAGCGAATACGATGCCACTTTCCTGCCAACAAGGTTGAGGCAAAGAAGGAAAGACAGGAATCTTACCCAAGGCTGGGAGGAGGAGCAAGAACATGTTCGGTCAGGATGGAGCCCGAGCTGTTCAGCGGTGAGACGCCCAGTGTCTGTCTGGAGGAAAGGGCATTGAGGCTGGCAGCTCCTGAGCCAATGTCAGCAGCAGGCCCCAGAAGTCAGGGGGAAGATGCCCTGGTGGCACCACAGGAGGAGCCCGGTGGCAAGGGAACACCTGATCACCCTTGCAGGGGAGCTCTGAGGTGGCGCCAGTGAAGAAGCCCACTCCCGTGGGCAGGGAGCACAGGTGGGGGCTGGGGTGAGGTGGGGAGGGTCGGGACTGGAGCCTAAGTGGAGTAGGTGGGGGAGGCAATAAGAAGGGGAAGGAGGGGAGGAGGAAATAGAAGGCCTAACAGGCAGACACCCACCTGGATTGGGCAGGGCAGACACAGGATGCGATGGGGGAGGGGATGAAGGGGGAGAGACAACCAGTCCTATAAATAGAGAGTGGTCAAACAGGCCTAGGAGGAGAGCAGAGGTACTGCCGCTCCTCTGGCGTGAGGAAAGGCTAACCTCAAGGCAGGAAGAAGATGCATTAGTCTTTTTTACTCCCCATTCTAGGTCCTGTTGAGGAAGTTAGGGCTGAGGCAAGATGGTGGAGGGAGGTGCGGTGCAGCACACAGCAAATGACTGAACAATGTTAAGGGGGGGGGGAGTAAAAAACTGCAAAAGATGCAGGGAAGAAAAACTTGGCAGATTTTTTGTGGGTTTTTCCGTCTTGCTTCTCTTTCAACTCAGTTGTTTTTTATTGTACTTGTATGTTTAGTGTATACTTCAATATTAATTGTCAGTTTTATTATCTGCCCAACTTTGGGAGAAGGAGAGGCATTGATAAAAGTAGCAAAGGAATGACTGTACATGTGGGACTTTCTACAGCTTCCATTCGAAACACAAGGGCAAGCTGAGGCACAAGGGGTCCAGCCTCCATCCTTTCAGGTAAGTGCAAATAAGCATCCCCAGAGAAGCCACAAAGGCACAGTTCGCCTCAGTTACCTTCAGTTAACTAAGTTCTCAGCAGTAAATGGTATGATTTTCTGTCTCCCAGCCAGAAACGGACATGTTCATGTCTCGATCATGGTTAACCACCATAAGAAAGGATAGAGGGAAGGATCCTGAAAGCTGGCTGTGCCTCTCAGGTGTTTTGAATACCCAGAGTAGGATCTGGGAGACCCAGGTTCGAATCCCCATTCTGCCATGGAAACTCACTGGGTGACCTTGGGCCAGTCACTCTTTCTGTACGCCTTGCAAGGATAAAATGGAGGAGAGGAGAACGATGGGGACCCAACTAAATCTGTCTCTCTGTGTTGTTTGTTTGTGCTACTGAAGCAAGTACCAATCCAGAGCACAGAATAGGCTTGGGGGGGGGGATCTGCGCATTGCACAGAATAAGGGGGTAAATCCACTTTAGAATTCTATGTCGTTTACTTTCTTAAGTTATTTGTATACTGCTTTTCATCCATGGTTCTCAAAGTGGTTTACAACAAGAACAACACAGGATCAGTTAAAACAGTTATTTCTAAACTGCCCTCTCATTCACAAAAGCAAAGGAAAACGTAATTTCAAATCTCCAGAATGGTTTGATTTTACATAACGAAGCAGAAAAGGCACAATGAAATAGGGAGATCTTCGTTCCCCTCTGAAAGGAAGCCTGGAGTGCAGCAACCTGACCTCAACAGGCAGGGAATTCCTTTGCTTAGAAGCCACCATCAAAAAGTCTGTTCTGCTTTTAGACTCCAGGATCTTTGGAACGCCACCCTTCACGTAAAAAGCTCCCTGTAGCACATAACAGAATAAATCCGTCTTTGATCTCTAATGGACTAATTTTAGTGCATACGGGAGTCTTTCTTTTTCACACATAGGGTAGCATTCAGAAATATGACTCCCCCACTACTGTCATCTGAAGTGCTGCAGGCCAACATCCCTGTCTGCTATGCTTTTTCTTTTTTGCCCATGTAGGACAACCAAGACCCCAAGAATGGGAGTTCTAAAGGTTTTCAATAGCACAAGTTTCCCTGCAAATTAATACTTTTTTGACCTGGCTGAAGTCCCCCAGTGGTTGCTTCATCATCTTGATATGATACAATGTATTTATTGGTTTAGTGGTTAAGTGCGCGGACTCTAATCTGAGAGAACCGGGTTTGATTCCCCACTCCTCCACTTGCACCTGGCTGGATGACCTTGGGCAAGCCCTAGCTCTGATAAGAGCTGTTCTTGAAAAAAGGTGTCTGTTGTGGGGAGGGGAAGGGAAAGGAGTTTGTAAGCTGCTCTGAGACACCTTTGGGTAATGAAGGGCGGGGTATAAATCCAATCTCTTCTCCTCCTTCTCTTCTTATATTGTGTAATCCATCTTGAGTGGGCTATAAATGAAGTTAATATAGTTTGGTTAGAGTGCCCAGGTTCAATCGTGTGCCCCCCCCATCACGAAACTCTCTGGGCGATCTCGGGCCAGTCATTCTCTCGGCCTAAGCTACCTCATAGGTATTGAGGATAAAACGTAAACGGAGAGAACCATGTACTTCATTTGTGGATAAAAATGCACGAAATATGTTTGATTCCAATCCTGGAGCACCTTCAACATGTTTGTAAGAGAGATGCATATATGTATACATGCCTCTGCAGAACAGTCAGAAAGCTCAAAGTGCAAGTTGCAACTCTGGTGGATTTGTACCATACAGTGGAACTAGATTTGACTCCTGTGGCACCTTAGAAACCAACAAGATTCTTTCAGGAATCAAGCAGACAAGAATCATCAGACAGAGACAAAAGTTTATAAAAAAAAAACCCCATTTTTGTTGGTTTCTAAGCTGATACTGGACTCATCCACTACTACAAACCAACATGACTACCCACCTGAAACTACCAAGAGGGTTATTCTAGGAAAATGCTTCACCAGGTTGGAGAGAGAGAGAGAGAGAGAGAGAGAGAGAGAGAGAGAGAGAACTGCATGAGAACTTAACAATGATGAAAATGAAAATTCACAGATGTTACACGCACACACATGACATAGTCTTCATTTATAAAGGCAGATTTTGCAAAGCCCATTAATTTTTGGAGGCTCATATTTGTTGTCAGTTTGCACAACCACTTGGTATCCTGATACTGTCCTCAATCTCTGTGCTACAGGAAAGCCTTGCAAGAGAAGGACAAGTTGTGGCTCCTCAGAGAACAGAGGCGAAAGAAAAAACTGCGCAAGCTACTGAAGAGGATCAAAAATAATGACACGTGCAGCATGCCGGGCCTGACTTGTTTCACCCATGACAACCAGCACTGGCAGACTGCCCCCTTGTGGACATGTATGGGCCTCCATGCTTTTAACCTTAACTCTGGAGGGTGTAATATTTTGCATGGCCTTCTATAGAGTCTGTGTGTATATACCCTTCAAGCCACAGGAAGCTGTCAGTGTCTTTGCAGTTGCTCACGGCAAACAGTTGTGACTGCTTTATTTCTCAGGGATGTCCCTTGAATAAGAATCTGTCGTTTCAGGGATAATCTGTGCCTCCTGATTTCAACATGTAGGCTCCAGGCTCTGCAAACACTTCAATGCATGGGTTACAGGAGGGTGGGGTTTTTTGCAGGTAGTCTCTCCCATTCGTCCCATTCATTTTAACAGAGAGCTACACTGTCTGATGTGAATTTTAGTCCTAATTGTTTTAACCTGTTTTACTTTTACTGCACTTTGTGCCTATGTAAGCCGCGCTGAGCCCGCGTGCGGGGAGGGCGGGGTATAAATGAAATAAAATAAATAAATAAATACACAAAGGAATCTGCTGCCTGGCTTGAAATTAACGGGGAAAGCCCTTGTGAACAATGGAGCTTAATGTGTGTCCCTTATGTTCCACAGCTCTAAGGAGACCATACTCTTGTGTTAAACAGAAAAATTTATTTTACTATTTATTAATAATCCTATACATTTAACCAACATTAACTTTTATTTTGCAGTGGGTCCTTTCTGTGCTTGCACTAGTGCAAACAACAACACATACTGGTGCATGAGGACAATCAATGAGACTCACAACTTCCTGTTCTGTGAATTTGCTACTGGCTTCCTTGAATACTTTGACCTCAACACTGACCCTTACCAGGTATTTGCAAAAGGTGGCTCAGAGGCTGGAGGAAATGTAAAACTCTTTTCTGTATGGCAAAGGATGGAAACCAGTTAAGGTCATAGTCTAACTGATTTTAATATATTTACTTTGTAAAGTCATAGGACATAGCAGTCAAGTTGAAATGGGACATCATGCAAGCATACCTGGTATTAGGGTTACCAGCAAATGGTAACTCTACTTGGTATTCTGCTAGCACTTGTTGCAAGAAAAAGGTTCTGGAGGAAACATACATGTCCCCAACCACTGGGGGACAAGCACTTGGAACCTTTGATTGGCCATAGCTTCCTAGTGCAAGTCCACTGCATTCACTTCTTATTCACACTTAATTTACTGCATCACAAACAAGTGGAACAGTGTGAGCAATAGCGGCTTCTTAGGAAACTCATTTATTGTGCCATAAGTTTCTGTAGTCAACACAGCAGGTGCAGCAGACAAATTTAGTAGTACATGCTTTACCCCCTTCTTTCTACGACTTTATTCCTCTAGTAAAACTACAGCTGCCCAAGTGGCCAGCTGGGCAAATCCCCCCAAATGCTGTGGAGATGTCCACCCCTCTGGTGAAATGAACCAGCACTCCCAGAGGGAGAAAATCTACTCATTGCATTATATGTCATCTCCAGTGTTCCACAGTTCTGTGGAACAAGGCATGAATCTAGATCACTGTTCACACAAGATGTATGCAACTTTAGGCTCAGCTGAAAGCACTCCCAGTTCAGAAACCCTCCTGACACAATGGTAAGGGCTACTAAAAAAGAGGGGTTTTCCAAATTATTTCCTCCCACAGAGCTGTAGCCATAAGTTCAGATGTGGTCCATATAAGTGTAGTTAGAACCCAGTTCAGGTTCCAGCTGGAAAAGCAATGAACGGTCAGTGGTTTAATCATCTGTTCCATTCAGTGTTCGTACTGAAGAACAAAAACTATGAATAGTAGAGAACAGGTCTACCCATCCCAGTCCACTATATTGGTAGACCTGACCTCAGACTGTTGCCCTGCGCTGAGCCTTAGAAAACATACCAACATTTGGGAGTGGGGTGGGTGCTCTTGCAATCTACTTTGGGGTTTTTTAAGTGAAATATGACAATCAGCATTACAGATCAAGTATAACAGAGGTGGAATAATCACTGTCAGAACTCTGCCTAACCTAACAAACAGGAAGTTGCTTAAATGTTATCAAACTGCCCAAACTACTTCTTTATTCAAATATTTATATCCCATTTTTCCTGTGACTCAAGGCAGCTTTTAGATCGTACTGAAAAGCATAATAGGGTTTTGCAGAAAGTGCATATATATATATGGAGGGAGAGAGAGAGAGAGAGAGAGCTTGTTTTCCTGCTCCCTTATAGCCTAGGGGGACCATTATAGTCAATGGGCCCCATAGGCTATAATGGAGAATTGATCTGGGGGTATCTGGGGCTCTGGGTGGTTGTCCTCCAAGTTTCAAAATGATTGCACCAGGGGGTCTAATTCTATGGACCCCAGAAGGAGGTGCCCCCATCCTCCATGGTTCCCAATGGAGGGGGAAAAGCTTATGGGCAGGAAGCTGAAACCTGTGAGCAGCCAGCTAAAACTTTGTGCGCCAGCACCCCTAGCACAGTTTAAAGGGAACAACTGGAGTAAGGTGGGTGGCCATGTTAGTCAGAAGCAACAGAACAAATTTTGAGTCAAGTGGCAACTTTGAGACCAATAAAGGTTTATTCAAAGTTGTAAGCTTTTGTGTGCAAAACACACCTCTTCAGACAAAACTGGATCAAAATCTCAAAAGTTAGTTACAGGAAAGAAGATGGTGGGGGTAAGCGATTAGGAGAGGCCACTCAGAACCCAGATGCATATGCACAGCTGAAATGCGTGACCAGTAGGATCAATGGATGGCAGCAAATTAGCACGTAAATGCAAGAGTTAACAAAGAGATGTGAGGATGAAATTGGAGTCCAGCAGCACCACCAAGAAGAGTGTCTTTCTCCAGAAAGCCAGCAGGTGTCCTGGTTCCTTAAAGAGAGCAGTAGGCCAACCAACTAAAATGCTGACTGCTTTTTTTTTGTACTGGGGAGTCTGCCACACCAGTGCCATGGCTTGCCCTGCTACTCTGAGACAAAAACGTTGTTAGAGAAGCAAGGAGACAGCAGCTTATCCCTTAAGGGGGTGCTGGAAGGGAGCGGCACAGAGAAGAGTTAAAAGAGCGGTGCTGCTAAGGGGAGGGGGACAACGTTCTAGAACTCTAGTTACCCTGGAGGCCTATGAATCTAGCCAGGTCATGTGATTTCTTTTGTTAGAGGGGGTTGGGTTAAATCTGGGGGGACTTTTTAACTCTGGAAAGCTTATACCTTGAAAATTTTGTTGGTCCCTAAGTTGCCACTGGACTCTCAACTGTTCTACTGCAGACAAACACTACTAGTCTCTGAAACTAAAACTCTCACAGGTGATGATGAGGAATACACCCCACGTGGCAGAGGCTTCTCTTTCCTAGTCCCTTCCTAAAACCTGTTGGAAGAGGAGGGAAGGTAGAGGAAATTTGTTTGTCCTGGGAGCCGTAGGAAACGAGGATGCTCAGATCTGTCTGCCAGCAGTAGAAGGCAGTGGATCACTAGGGTTTTTCTCCCAAGCACCACTGGACAAGGCCTTTTCCCAGAGGGCCACTTTTAGGCAGGGAGCTCTATGTGCCTAGCTTTCAGAGTGAAGTGGCAACAGACAGAGCAGCGCAAGATGCCGTGCTCTTTGCCAAGGCACATAAGACATTCATTATGGTCGTCGGTGTGGGGAATTTTGGACCTACAGGGCCTGTATGTTTTGACGAGCGCTTTTTGTGCCACATTCTGGACACTTGGCTCAAAGGAGGCAAGGGTTTGAGGTAGGTAACAGTCAGCACTAAGAGGCTGTTGAGATGGAGCCTCGCTGGAGGAACCTCTCTTTCTGGTGGCAGACAGAGAACGGAAGGAAGGGCTCTCTGCCCCTTATTATAGCACGGTGGAAAAGATGGGAAACGACGGGAGGGAGGTGGATGACAGTAGGTGTTTTTATTTATTATTAATTTATTAATTTATTAAATTTATACGCCGCCCTCCCCTCCAAGGCAGGCTCAGGGCGGTTTTTGAGCTTCAAAAATCTCTCCACGGCAAGCATGTGCAGTAGCCATCAGGGACTGCACAGGTACCATGACAGTGAAGCTTCCAACTCAAAGCAAGTGAAAAGGAAGACTGGGAAGTAGGGAGGAGGACTAGAAGGGGGGAATATTTGGTTCTAACAAATGAGAATTCACAATAAAATGTCATGGAGGCTTTTTAAACATGAAAACCCCTGAGTAGTTTTCAGATAGGACTAAATTTAAGGGGCACACAGTTCCTGTAGCACTAAACACAAAATAGGTTTTGGTGAGAAGAGATAGCTGGCATTACTTTAATGAGAATGTCTTTATTTTCAGCTAATTAATGCGGTGAACACACTAGACAGAGATGTGCTCAATCAACTGCACGTGCAGCTCATGGAACTAAGAAGTTGCAAAGGGTACAAGCAATGCAATCCAAGGACTCGGAACATGGAACTGGGTAAGGGCTTCCTGGTTTTGCCTCTGGAAAGAGTTGTTCAATAACCAAGATGTTTCATAATGGGATTCTTGAATTAATCATTAATGACATTAAGTAGAAAATCAAATGAGGAACATGTAATGAGAGTTAATGGTGGAGTCAGAGTGTTGGACCAGGATCTGAGAGACCCAACTTTGAAACACGGCCAAAACTTACCTAAAGAGGGCTGGATTGCCGCACAGGCCCAGGAGAGATCCAGAGGTGACATCCCCCACCCTTTGCTTAATGATCGGCAAAGGTAGAAACCTTGGGCAACCGCGCTGGCCAGTCCCACATCATCCGGGTGGGCTCCACGCAGCACTGACGTAGAGCCCACCCAGTGCGATTTGAACCACGCTACAGTGTGGGTTCAGCAACACAATTTTCATTGGCTCCCCACCAATGTTCCCTCTAAGCTATGGAGTCCTGTGAGCAAAAATTCTACTTTGTGAGCTACTTGCATTTAAGTTGTGAGCGAGCGATTTGGCTATTGCATAAATTAGTTTGCTCTGGAGCCACTTTTCCTGAGCTGAGACAAAAATGTGTGAGCCGGAGGCTAAAAAACTGTGAGCTAGCTCACACTAACTCAGCTTAGAGGGAACACTGCTCCCCACCCACCCTTCCTCCCGCCCTTTTCTGAGTTTTTTCTGGGGATGTACTCTTTTTGCTGTCACAGCTGGCAGTTTTGTGCATCTGGGTGGGTCCTTTTGGGGATTCTCTTAAGGGGTCTAGGGGGGTTAAGCCACCACATGGTATGCCCAGCTTGGGGACTGTGCCCAGGCTCAACCCAGGCGTCAAATTGGTATTACTCAGCGGCAGCCGCCCTTGTGATACCAATATTTGTCACTCCCGGGTTTTTCCCCAGCAAGTGAGCTGAGGGGCGTTTATCAAGCAGCAGGCGGGTTGGTCCATTTCCCAGATCTGCCCCCATGCTTCACTAATGTTCCTTGTTAAATGAATAAAAGCGGTGGCCTGGTTTTTTGTGTGGTTGTTTCATGTCTCTCCACAAGATCTCTTCTTACTATGCTCTGCACCTGCACTTTCCACTCTGCCATGGAAGCTCACTGGTTACCTTGGGCCAGTCACACACTCTCAGCCTAACCTGCCTCACAGGGTTGTTGTGTGGAGGAGAGCTTTGGGTCCCATTGGGGAGAGGTACAAACAAATTAAACATTGTAAGTAGATTTCCTTAGAGGAATCTTATTATAAACTGTTAATGAGAAATCATGAGGACTGTGGATCACGCAGGAATTCCCTGTGCAGCTGGCCCACTGGGGTAGCAATTTCCCATATTATCTCCCATCTCAAATGAGTGTTATTGGGAGTAGCGATAGGCACAGACTGAATTACGAACCTAAGTTTGTCGTGAACTTGGCCCGGTTCGTGGCTCACAAACCCGGTCATGCCATCCCACCCTCATGAGCCCCACAAACCTTCCAGGTGGGTTCATGTGGTTCGTTCCGGCTTGCAAAAATCATTTAAAGGGATTCCTTTAAATGGTTTTTGCAAGCTGCGCTGCCGCCACCATGGCACAACTCACAAGTGAACTGAGAAGGCATTTAAATGCCTTGTCAGTTGCCTTGCTGAGTCGTACCCAAACACCTTTCTTCCTTCCTGTATTGTTTAATTTATACTCCACCCTCCCTGCCTAAGCAGGCTCAGGGGAGGGCGGGGTATAAAAATTAATAAAATAAATACATCTTCATGCAAGAGGACAGAAAGAGCAGGTTGTGTGTAACCGTTCTTCTTCCAAGTAGCCATCTGTGTGCATTCAGAGGAGAACAAATTATATGACCTATGCACAGAAAACTAACTAATGAACTTTAGTGGGGGGGGTTGTTTTTTTAAATGAGCACGGAATGCCAGGTCTGAGAACATGGTTCAGGGGTACAGCTCCCCACCTTTGGGTATGCGTAGGCCAAGCTTTGTTTTTGTTTATTTTATTCTGTTTATACCCCGACCTCCGCACAAGTGGGCTCAGGGCGGCTGTGTTTCTTAGTGGGATGAGCTTCATGTCTAGATGTTTCCATATCATGTGATGCACAAGGAGAAACTCAAAATTTGGTTGGATGTCCTTTAATCCTGCATATTATCCCAAACTCTTGGTTGCACCTGGTACGGTTTGCTTGCCAAGCCTCTTATGTTGGAGACTTTCACCACCAGCCCAGTGTTTACAAACATTAATAAGTTACCTTCACCACTTCATGATGTGTCTTGCGGTACACTTTTCCTCTGCTCTGTAGCTATTGCTTAACAAGGTATCCATTTTCTCCTCTTTAGGCCTTAAAGATGGAAGCTACGAGCAATACAGGTACTGCTTAAACCAACGGTTTAATTCCCCCCCCCTCCATATGTTATCACATCAAGCACTGGGAGAAAATGGACAGCAGCTCTCTCAGCCAAGAGTTGGGGTTACAATTAACCTATGGAAGGTGGATTTATTTTGAAGGGCTGTGGGCTTTTGTACAGACATTCTTTTAAAATCTTTTACATCTTGTGTGTGTTCTGGTGGGTCCCCTAGTAAATGTTTTTTCTCCTTTATGGCTTAAAAATTAGGCAATTTCAGCGACGCAAGTGGCCAGAAGTGAAGAGACCTTCATCTTCCAAGTCACTGTGAGTTGGGAGTACATGCATGCAGTTGTCAGCCTTAACTCCAACTTTCCCCCCTTCATTTCTTTTTGCATGCAGTATACAATTCACTTTTTTCTAGTCTCACTGTTAAAATATCTACCTCATAGGAAACCAGGCATGAGAAAGACGGCTGTGTAATTAATAATGGGTGTCGGTATTCTCTAGTTAAAGTTAAATAAGGTAAATTATGAATGAGTCTGAATCTTGCCATGGTACTGAAAGGGTGAAATAAATTAGTGTATTGGAGGTCTGATAGAACAGAGAATATTTCACTTCTGATTTGTACATGTAGTAAAACAGGGTCTACAGCTACCTATTATAGACCCTGGTTATTTCTCAGGTCACTGCAGTTGGAGTACTGATGGCAAACTGGTTCAGCATTTGTGGGGGGGCGGGGGTGTTGTAAGCTTCCTTCAATTGGGCTGATTTCAAAGCAAAACAAATACATGAAACGGCTTTATACAGAGTCATCCCACTGGGCCCATTATCCAGATTGGTAGCAGTTATCCAGAGCCCTGGGAAGAGAAAGACCTTTCCTGACCCCTACTACATGTGAACCTTTAACTAGAGATATTAGGATTAAATGTGGGACTTTCTGCATGCAAAGCATGCACCCTACCACACAGTCATACCACACCCTACCACACATATGCATGCAAGTACTGTCATCAAAGAGATAATGCAAATGCTGTGCTAGAACCCAAGCCCAATATTGTTACTTCAGTCATGGACCTTTGAGGGAAAAGGCAAAGGCCCCATGCATTGGGCTAAGATGGAAAGCCGAAACCAAAGCAAGGAGCTCTGACGTGAATATTCCTGAAATGTGGGTTAATTTAAACAACTCACCCCATTGAAACAAATCAGTGCCAAAGATGGCATTTCAGATTTCACTATATTAAGGTAGGTGGTGAAATGTTTTTGCTTTTGAGTTATGAACTACACGGTGGAAGAAACATTCTTCAATGTTCCTGATGCCTTTCCCTGCACGGTCTTGCTGAACATTCATTTCCTTCTTCATTGCATACTTGCGCTACGGGGCTAACAATCATGTTCTTGTTTTAATTTTACAGAGGACAGCTCTGGGAAGGCTGGGAGGGCTAACCTACAATCGCTGGACCTCAATGAGGAGGATATAAACTGGCCAGAACTTGAATCTTTGTACAGACTTAATGAGAGTGTGTATGGTTTCAGACTGAATTACAATGTTAGCCTGGAGGACTGGATGAACTTTTGACGCTTAGATAGGATGTTTGCACTGTTATGCAATCTGAATAGAAACAGTGACCTCCTGAGGACTTAATGGCATCAAGAATACGTATCCATCTCGGAGCCCACTGGTTCACCTGCTTTTGCTTTGGATTATACCTCACTGGCTTCACAGACTTGTTTTGCTTCCACCAGTCACCAGAGATACAGTTCCGAGAAAGAAGCAGAGAAACGAGGGTCCCCCCACTGACTCACAAAGAATCGTAAGGGCCGAAAGCCTACAGAGCACTGTTTGAATGGAACCCAATTCATAGCGTTTCTTCAATTTCCACTCTTGACCAACTGGCAATAGACAGAGACAGACACAAATGGAAATCAAGAATGTGCATTACCCACCACCAGACAGCTACTGAAGGACCCAGGATCACAAGACAATATTGACCGTAATATTCTTCAGGTGTTTACTGACATGGAAGCAATTTATTTCACTGTTCACTCACCTACTTTGGGATAAAAAGAAAATAAATTCTCACTCAAACCAGCTTTCCAGCGTGGTACTGTAAATATTTAGTGTCCTGCTTAAAAAAACAAAAGTCCAGAACAATTTTGTTACTAAAGTGTTGGCATGCCCCAGTACCATTTCTGAAAATGTCACCTTCATTGCATAATAAAATTCCAGAATTTATCCATTTTTAAAAGAACTGCAAAATTTAAAAAAGCAGTTGTGTATGTCTTGACAATTTTAACAAAGTTGGATTTGTATTAAGTCTTTGTGGTTATATTGTATGTTCAAAAACCAAAACTACTATAAAAGAAAGCACTTGTTTACTTTTATATTTGTGTGGGGTATTGTTTTTAAAAGAAAAACATTTTTAATTATTCTTCTCAGGCCAGTATTTTTTAAAAAAATTAAACTTGAATAAAAGTTGTTCATTTTCCAGCTTAACTATAGATTTATATATGAAAATCAAGACAAGAAAACAAGAGCCACAATTCAGAGGTCAGTTGAGCCTCAGTTCTATTTAAGAAGAAGAGGAGAGGAGAAGAGATTGGATTTATACCCTGCCCTTCACTACCCAAAGGAGTCTCAGAGCAGCTTACAAACTCCTTTCCCTTCCCCTCCCCACAACAGACACCCTGTGAGGTAGGCGCAGCTGAGAGAGCTCTGACAGAAACTGCTCTTTTTCAAGAACAGCTGTGCCAGAACTATGGCTTACCCAAGGTCATCCAGCAGCTGCAAGTGGAGGAGTGGGGAATCAAACCCAGCTCAGTGCCAGATTTTTCCTGTTTTTTCGCTTTCAGACTTAAAAAATTCCTTAAAGACTAACAACATTTATTTATTCTAGACTTACAGTCAACTACTAGGCAGTTATTCCGGTCTCAATCCCTTGATTTAAAGTAGTTTAGACTGGAATAACTGCATAAGATTATGTGAAATTTGCTTGACAAACAGCCCAATCTGGAGTGTGTATTCAACTCTACCCAGATCTAAATTTCGATTGCAGTTTTCTAGTATATGCTTTCAAACCTATACTGACATGTTGGAGGTTTTATGGCAACAGGCTCTTATTCATAGGCAGTCCTTAAACAGGGATTGGTATTCTTGACTAGAAGGTTTTATCAGTTCCCATTGCTAGAGAATGACATTGGATCTGTTTCAATCCCTGTTATGTTTAGAAGCTTAAAAAAAACTATTAACCAGATTTTAAGGTGCTGTTAGATATTTGATTTGTGTTGGGTAAATCTAACATGCATTGATCTTTTAAAAGAATGCTACTCGTATCCACCTTGATGTGTATAATTTGTGCCAGATTAAATTCGGCCATGAATGTTTCTCACAGAATTGCATCATGCAGCTAAGTGAGAAAACATGCCAGGGGTGCATTCAGCCTGGCACAAAATATAAGTCAGTAGACACGGGTGACAAACTTTTCTTAAAGATCACACATTTTCTTAGTTCGGACCAGACCCGTAGGCAGGATTTTTAAAGTCTGGGGGCATTTAAATTTCTTAGGGGGCACTAGGTAATTTAATTAAAGAAAGTGGGGCACAGGAAGCCCGCGCTGCACCCATCTCTGCTCTGGCCACTGGCAAGTTGGAGCCTCCCACCGCTGGGAGCATCTAGCTTGCCTCCCTCCCCAGAGGCCCTTGGCTGGAGCTGCCCCTCCCGGGGGGAGAAGGCCATGATACCCTGGGCCCTGCCAGGAAGTTGGGGGGCCTAGCCCTGAGATGCCCCACTGTAGTTACGGGCCTGGTTCAGACATAAGAAATTGAGACATGCCAGCAAGGATATTAACCCCTTCTTTGTCCCTGGTGATCACCTAAGGGAGCCCAGATAGATAGAAGGTTAACTTTACAATATCTGCAATTTTAATCTTATACGAAGCAGGTACATTCAACTGGCTTCTTCTTGGTTTCACGGTTATTCACCAGCCCTCATTTTAACTCAGCAATGAGGGTGAAGATAACAGCCATTAACTGCTGTGTGTGTGGAAATAGGTATGTGCCAGTGAAGACGTTCCCCAGATTCATTAAAGCAGCCTACAGCTTAAGGGAATCACCGAAACCTTTGTGAAGAGATACTATTTATGAGCTAGAACTGTTTAAGCAACTTTACTTCTGAAAGAAAGAAAAGCAGCGTTAATTTCTTTAATAGCTGAAGTCAGAGTTCCAGTTTCAAATAGAAACCTTTATTTACATTATTAACATCGAACACACACACACACACACACACACAAATAATCAGAAAAACAAGACCATCTGACCAAACTTTTTAATAGATCAACCCACAAGAGCCTTTTCTTCTGTGTTGTAAAGACTGATTATTACCAGCAATATTTAATGTAAACTAAACTTTAGAGTCAATTCTCAATACTGTGTGCCTTTCTCTCCTGAGATATTTAAAAATATTGCTTCGTTGAATTGTTTTATAACTACTGCACTGCTGTCAACTGACAGTCTGCTATTACGCTCTGTGTGCTAATCTGTGCAACAAATAAGTTTTCTTACAGCAAAAAAAATGCTCATTTACCATTTTAAAAGCACAAATTAAAAAAGGTAGATAAGTATACTTTTCAACACAATTCTGTTTGATAATTTATGTAGACGTGGTGCTTTTTCTTTACAGAGACATGGGATGGACTCTTATGTCTTTGCTCTACTCCTGTGGGATTTCTGCCAATTTCTCCCTCCCAATGTAGACCCTACCTACCTACCCCCCCACACACACACCCAAAAAACACCCTGCTCCCCAGGAACAGGATTTTAAGGGTCACAGCTGACTGCAATGGCAAGGGAAAGGGGGGAAGCTCTATTTCACAAGTGATACAGCACTCATGGTACATAGAATCCAACCCAGTGACCTCCACAGAACCAATTCCAAATTAACTTCATTGTCTCATTCAGCCACATTTGCTGTTATTTAGCCTAATCACACCACATATAATTCACACGCAAGTTACTAGAGACATTGCATTGCAATATAAATGAAGGTCTGTGTGTTCAGGCTTTTGATACTAGATGTGATCATTTGAATCAGCACTGCCCAAAAGCACAGCTAGTTCCCACACATTTTTAAAAGGTCTGATTAATTTGTATCAAGTTGAAATTAAATTCTTTGGATTCAGCAAGAAGTAAAACCTGGAAAAAATATTTAACATTCTAAAAAAAAAAAAAAAGATTAACTAGTGAACAGCAAGTACCACCTCATTTCAGAAATATAAACAATCACTCAGAATGAAAAAGGGCAGCCACTAATACAGCGCAGGACGTCACGGCTTTAAGCTTTTTATCATGAACCACCCGACAAGATTATTTTACAGACTTTTTGAAATGTCTTTAATATGCCTGTGGAGTCTTTGAGTGAGAATACACTGACTAAGCATCAGCAGGGGCTTCTGAAAAACTAAAAAAATATCTCTCACTTCAATGGTAGGTCCTTCAATAAGAACTAGAGAATACTTTTTGGGCACCTTGTATGCTCTGATACACGCATGGAGCTTCTGCGCGTGCACAAGATCTTTCTGGCAGACTCGGATGTTGGGTCAACTATGCACGTGCTATTTTGTTTCATTCAAAACTTCAACTTTTTATTCTTTTCATTAGTTAAAAACTCAAAGCACATTACATTGTCTGAAAAATTCCATAAAGCAAATAAACCAATCTGTGCAAACAAATTAAAAGATGCACTTTAAAAAGTTGGTAAGAAAACTTTTGAACGCAGGAGGACTCCATATTGGAACACACAGTGAATTTTGGACCAGAGCCTGGGTATTCAAAACTTAACATTACTGGAAGTTAATACAGTAGCTAGGTAGAATTTGCACAGGACAGGCAGCATTTAAAACCCGGGTTCAGGACTGTAGCAGCTTTCTGGGGTAACAGAACAATTTCTGCACTAGAGACTATTTTTATTAAAGCCAAGCCTTCATTACATAGCAAATAATAAAAATTACAGTTCAGTCAGGAGAAACTAACTTGAATATGCAATGGGAATAGTAAAAAACTAAACCAAAACCATACTTCTTCGAACATTTTGGCCTGTCTTACTATAGAAGGATCCTGTGACAAATCACTACAGCTTGTGCTTAAAACTGAATCTACCGATGTAAGTTTCATTTTATGTAATTTTCATTTTATGACATTAAACTATCAAAAAAGCAGGATATTTCCTGACCCCCAAACTTTGACCATTTGATATGAAGGGAACTGCCCGAAAAAATAAATGCATCTGTTACCAGCATAGCAGTTAAATTTGATAACACCTGCATAATTTGTATAAACAATTTTAGATATTTATGTATCATCAAATGTCTTCTGATAAGAGAAGTTTAAAAACACACAAACATGATCAGAACAATAAGGCTTAATTAAAAATTAACCAAATGCCCTAGAGCAGAGGCTCTCAAAATTGAAGACAGGTTGTATTTAAAAAATCCACAAATTATGACAGCTAAAAAGAGCCGTTTTTGTCATCAAATTGTCCTCTTAAGAAAAAGTAACAAAGTGCACTTTAAACAAAATGATCTTTTAAAAAGCTATTCCATCAAGTTGAGGATCAGGGCCACAGTCACCTAATTCTGAAACTATTTAAATTAAAAACAATTCTATCTGAACAACCTTGACTAAACTGAGTTTACAGAAACTCTCTTTGTTACATATTTAGCTTCACAAACTCTGCAAAAATGAGTCAGTGATCTACAAAAGTCATATATATATATATATATGTATATGTATATATAGTACAACATCTTGAGATCATATTTACAACACTTATTCACAAATAATTTCCTCTTCAGACTGCAATGCCTTGCCTTGAATTTTCTGAAGTTTAATGGCAAAAAAGATGAACAATTATTGCTCAGGTTTATACGTAAGAGGCATTTTGTGCAACAGTAATTTACACAAGGTTGGAAACGGGGCATTGAACATACTTTTTATAGCCATCTTTTAATTTTTATTTAAGATATTGCATTTACCCATTATGTTCAGCATTTTTATAAAGTGCACACAGCTGCACATCAACATAGAAATATTTACCGTAATTATATTTTTAAAAATTCTCTGCAAGCTTCCGGCATCAAAAGGGTTAAGATACGGATCCTATTTCCATTTGTACTGCCTCTTGCAGAGTTTCAGCATCTGCGGGTAAGAGTAACAGTAACATAAATCTTCTGAGAGGCTTTGGGGGTTCCTTTTTCCTTTTAAGATCAAGGGGCAGGAATTACTACATTCTGTCAGAGGCTCTAACCAGAGGACTCAAGACTATTACCAAGATTTCTTCAGGCACATTGGTCTGCCTATAGTTAAAGGCTTTGGATAGTTATGGTAAACAGAACTGGTATACACAGAGTCTACCAATCACTTTTACTCAAATGCCGTTGCTAGAGACAGAGTGCCAAAAACAGTATTCGTTTTACCATTCTTTGTACACCACTTCATACAGTAACAGATACTTTGTTTCCTCTCCCTTCCCCATTCATAACTTATAAAGTCACTTAAGAACGTCTTCATGGTACATTGGAAAAAAGTGGTATTTCCATAAGGCCTGGACTTGTTGCCATGAAGTAAATGCACATGCTTTCCTGTTACACTGTCGTCACCAGCATCTGCCTACTGGGAGCCCGTAGTTGTAGAGGTCAGCAGTATTTCTGCTGCAAAAACAAAAGGAGAAAATATATAATTATATAATATAATTATAATAGAGAACTGCAAATTCAGGAAAAATGAAAACTTTGAGGAGTCGAAGCATAAGGAAATATAGGGCACTGATAACACTTCGTTAGAGAGATTGAGCTGTTTTATGGGAGGATGCGCCTATCCTGAGTATAGGGTTACCGCATCTACTTTAAGTCCAGGATCCAAAACTGTTGTGGATTGCCTTAGATAATTCCTTTGAACTGTGATACTGGACAGTTTAACAGACAACAGACAACCTGAAACAGTGACAAGAGAGAAGCTGTCGGGCAATGGGGAACTGAAAGGCTGGGGGAAAACATCTATTACATTTTAATCTAATCTTTCCTCCAAGGAGCAAAAAGCAGGATGTAATCATACAAATGGGGGACTCCACAAGGACTTACGAGGGGGGTACCTCATTTCCCTCTGTATCCACCTCCCCACACAGTATTTCCAGCTTTCCTCTTCCTGGCAGCCCATTTCCCTGCTTACTTCTCTCCTTTCCACCTACCATCCTTCCTACAGTACTTCCTGATTTTTTAAAAGCTTTATTATTTATTTATACCCTTTCTTCTCCACAGGGACTAAAAGTAGTTTATATCATTCTCCACTCCTCTATTTCATTCTCAACAGACCTGGAAGAGGGGGGATATAAACTAGGGTGTCCTAGATCCTAGTCTGACATTTCTACCACTACACCACAATGGTTTTCATGCAGTGGTTGCTGTCAAATAGTAGTGAGTTGTCAAAGTTGTGTGGTATTCAGTAACTTGATGGCTACTACTAGGCCTGGTCCCACTTTAATCCTCCCTCCAAGAAGGGGGAGGAGAGCAGCGGTGGCCTGTGAGGCCCAAACAATCCTGGAAAGAGCCATACTCCCTCCACCCTTCCTTGAAGTTTCCATTGAAAGCTAGGAATACTGTTGTGTTTGCCTAGCAGCCCTTGACAACAGCTGCTGAATCTGAGAGGGTGTCCCATTTCTTTTTTTCTTGTTTCTTTTTTGTTTTCAAAATTTTCTTTAATTAAAACAATACAAACATGCATACTGAAAGATATATTACATTGTGTTTTCAATCAATTTCAGCTCAGTATCTGTACATTGCACATAACTAGCCTTATACTCAGTCTAATCCACTTTTCACATCTAATACTTATGTGATAAGAGCTCAGACTAAACACCTGTGAATCAAAAATGTATAGGGTGTCCCATTTCTTAAAGGTGGTGCTTCTGTCATTGGGGAGGGCTTCTAATTCCCAAATGTACTTTTTCCAGATGGCACATTTTCCTGCAAACCTGAGGCTTTTCTCAGGTTTGTCCCTCACAACTTCCACATCCTCACCTTTCCTTGGTTCCTTCTCTCCTTCCCACCTACCACCAACCAACTTACCATATAAATGCCCCTCATATTCAGTTATATTATATATATTATTTTCTTCATTTATACCCTGACTTTCTCCCCAATGGGGACCGAAAGCAACTCACATCCTTCCCCTCACCTTCATTTTATCCTCACAACCACCCTGTGAGGTTTTTAGGCTAAGAATGTGTAACTGGCCCAAGGTCACCCTGATAGCTTCCATGGAAGAGTGGGGAATTCGAGCCTCGATCTCACAGAGTCTGAAACTCTAACCACTACACCACATTGGCTTTTGTGGGGTGCTTGGGGGGGGGTCAATAGTGGGAGGACTCCTAGTGTCCTGGCCCCACTGCTGGGCCTCCTGATGGCACCTGGAATTTTTGGCCACTGTGTGACAGAGTGTTGGACTGGATGGGCCATTGGCCTGATCCAACATTGGCTTCTCTTATGTTCTTATGGGGTGGCTCTTGTTAACAGTAGCAAGCTGGGCCCTTGACAGAGTCATGCAAGTTGGACAGCAGAACATTGTCCAGTGGCTGCTCCCAGGCCTGGTCCCATGAACCCTCCCCCTTCAAGGGCCATAAGAACCCTGGAAAGGGGCCCTGCCTTTTACTGGCAGAAACTAAAGATGGATGATAATACTGTTATGGCTGCCTAGCAATAGCAACCGAGAACACTCATTTCTTGAAGCTGCAGGCATTGTTTTCTATTATTTGGGAGAGATTTATTCCCCCGAAATAACTTCTTCCTTTTTAAAAAGATTTCAGATTTTTCTGCAAACCTGGGACTGTTCTCAGGTTCTACGACTCTCAGCTCTGGAGATAAGTATCCACAGATGGGGGTACATTGAGAACCAGATATACTGACACATTTTATTTATTTATTTATAAATTCGGTTTATAGCCCGCCCTCCCCGCAGTGCAGGCTCAGGGCGGCTCACAATCAGGCACAAGCCTCACATAAAACAATTAAAAATATTTAAAATCAATCAACAGATTTCGACATTATTAAGTGCTCTCGATGTTCAAATTAAATTACCATAAAGATGGCGTATTAATGCTGTTATATCCACTCAGTGCCATCTGTTCCTGTCGGTCTCTCTTCCCAGGGCCAGATGCTCATGATGGTAACATAGTGATGGTACAGTGGTGGCGGCTCCTACTCAAACGCCTGGCGGAAGAGCTCCGTCTTGCAGGCCCTGCGGAACTGTGCGAGGTCCCGCAGGGCCCGGATCTCCTCCGGGAGCTCGTTCCACCAGGTAGGAGCCGCCACCGAAAAGGCTTTGGCCCTGGTAGCAGCCAGCCTGGCCTCCTTGGGACCTGGCATAGCCAGGAGGTGTTGTGTCCCAGACTGTAGTGCTCGCGGGGGAACATATGGGGAAAGGCGGTCCCTTAGGTATGCTGGACCCCGGCCATTTAGGGCTTTAAAGGTAAGAACCAGCACTTTGAAGCGAATCCGGTACGCTACTGGCAGCCAGTGCAGCACTTTCAGCACAGGCCGGATGTGGTCCCTACTAGGAAGACCCATCAGCAGCCTGGCCGCAGCATTCTGCACCAGCTGCAGCTTCCGGATTTGCGACAGAGGCAGCCCCATGTAGAGAGCGTTGCAGTAGTCTAGCCTCGAGGTGTCCGTTGCATGGATTTTCTGAATGAGGAGATTAAAAAGTCAAAAAGTATCTCCGGATTCTCTTAAAGCACTGGCATTTTTGAGAGGCTGAGTGATAAAATTTAATCTAGATACCAGTTATCAGAATCATTTTACCTGGTCTGGCCCCATGGGTATTCCTGATGTAGGCATAACATTTATGTTCATTTGTCCCATGTGACCACCGTTGCCATTCATGTGCATCACACTGTAGGTCGTAGGGTTCCCTGGATGACTGAATTGCTGCTGTGGAAAGGAACTAGAGAACACAAAATTGACCTTTCAAAAAGCACTCTTGGTCTATACAGTCCATCCCTGTGTGTGTGTGTGTGTGTGTGTGTGTGTGTGTGTGTGTGTGTGTGTCTGTTTTCCCCTTCAGTAAACAGGCATAGTACAACGACACTGGCAAGAGATGCCGGTATTTTGTTCCTACTTACATCCTGTTCACCTTCAATCCAAAGGGTTTCAGGTATGTTTCTGTCCTACCTGTTCAGATATATTAAAACCTCAACTTCAAGATTTGTTTTAAGATGTCTATTTCCTGAAATTATTTTGATCCAAGCCATTATAATTTATAATTTCTTGCTAAAGGATTTGCATCTTTCAGATCTAGCTGATCTTTGTGGCCTTCAATAAGTCACTTTTGCATTAAACTAGCAAAAATGGGCTTTGGATATCCAATATACAACTATAAAAGCAGGGGGTCCTCTTCCACAATCACAGGTGTGTGGGGGGGAGATATCCCACAATCACATCTGTTTGAAATTGTCTGATTATTCATCAAGAGCACCTGAAACTCTGACTGGCTCTACAGACCACAGTTGTAAACAGGTACATGGGGTATGTTCTAGATATATAGCTAAAGACAGAAATCTCAAGTCTTTAATTAAAAACAGACTGTCCCACGATACTGATGGCAATCTTACCTTCACAGGTCAATCACACTGCTTCTATATCGCCCCAGCATATACCAGCTTAGGCCTTTGTATCTTTCTTTGCCCCGTTAACCTCCCTTGCATCCACCATCCCAAATCTGAAATGCCATTCCGGGATGGATGCTCTTCAGAATCTCTCTCTGAGGGGCCTCTCTATGGACATCACCTCAGATGGGGGAACAGTTCAGTGCACGCTTGTGAGGTGATGCACATTGGGCCAAAAAAATAACTAAATCCCAACTCCAAGTATAGGCTAATGGGATCTGAACTTGCTGAGACTGAGGGTGGGGGGGAGATCTTGGGGTTATAGTGGATAGCTTAATGGACGTGTCAGCTCAAGGGGCTGCAATGGTGAAAAGGGCAAACTCTCTACCTTAGGGATTATTAGGGAATGGATTGAGAACAAAACAGCCAATGTTGTAATACCACTGTATAGATCTATGGTGAAGCCTCATGTGAAATACTGTGTACAGTTCTAGTACAGTATCTCCAAAAGGACATTGCAGAGCTGGGAAAAGTGCAGAGGAGGGTGAGCAAGATGATTAGGGGGTTGGAGCCCCTTCCCTATAAGGAAAGATTGAAGAGTCTGGGACTTTTCAGTTTAGCAAAGAAGCGACTAAGGAGGGACAAGACAAAGGGTTTATAAAAGTATCCATGGAGTGAAAGAGAGTTGGCTAAGAGAACTTTTTCTCCCTCTTCCAAAATACGAGAACTTGAGGATGTCCAGTGAAGCTGATGGCCAGTAGAATCAGGACAGAAAAAAGAAATTTTTTTACACAGGAGTGCGATTAAAATGTGGAATTTGCTCCCAGAGGATGTAGTGATGGACAGAGGAATGAACAGCTTTCAAAGGAGATTATATAGATTCATGGAGGAAAAGTCATTCAATGGCTACTAGCCATGTTGACTGAGGGGAACCTCCACATTCAGAGGCACTAATCCTCTGAATCCCAGTGTCAGGAGGCAACATCAGGGGAAGGCCTCAGCCTCTGTGCCCTGCTGTTGGCCTTCCAGAGGAACTGAATGGCCACTGTGTGAGACAGGATGTTGGACTAGACAAACCATTGGTCTGATCCAGCAGGGCTCTTATGTTCTTATGTTTAGATGTCTACTTTCCAAATGCTTTTCAGAACACGCTCTACCTTGATCTGCTTGTGCTAAAGTCATCATATGTTAACTTACATCAAGCAAAAAAGTGTGACTAGGCCACAATTTCTTGGTTAAATGAGCACATTAAAAATGTGTACAACAAATGTGTGTGTGTTTTTTGTTATATGCAGTCATCTGCCCTGGCTTGGAATCAAGACAAAATGTACAAGGTGTAGGGGTGGCTATTTTCAAGTTCTACACTAAAAAAATGCACATCGTTCAGATTCTTAATGTTCACCCTCCCGTTCATTTAAAATTGTCCCTGTGTGACCCCCACAGACTTATTTTCAAGCCACTTTGCTCTCACCTGCTTCTGGCCATGTTTCCTGATGGCCAGCCCTTCATCTCAGGGGACTGATACATTGGGTTCGCCTGAGGATGCTGCATCATCGGATTTTGAGATGGTCCAATTCGCTGAGCCATTATAGAATTTGGAGGGGTTGATACCCTATTAAAAGATGGATCTGGCTGCTGGTTCATTCCTTACAAAGCAAATGGGATAACAGATTTTGGTTTATTTTCAACAGTTATTGTGTCATCTACTTTTGCTTGAAAGGACCTCAAACAACATTATTTTGAAATACATCACTGAATAAGCCAACTAACAATTAAAATCTGCAAATACAACAACTAAAACTGATCTCTGCTTGCTTGAATCTGTCAAGCTACTATATATGCTACACATACAATCACTATTAACTAGACAGAGCAGAGATCCAGTGTACCTCTGAATGTCAAGCAGTGGACATAAACAGGGGAGGGATGTTGCTATGCTTGTAGATTTCCTTGAATAACTTTCTGGCTATTGTTGAAAATACCCTGCCAGATGATACAAACCCTTGCCTGACCCACTGGGAATGTTTTTCCCCCAAAGGGGACCCAGTCAGTTCCCCACCAAGGTATTCTGTTTTGCTGTTTTTGCTTCTTGTTTGAGAGCCAGTTTGGTGTAGTGGTTAAGTGTGAGGACTCTAATCTGGGAGAACCGGGTTTGATTCCCCACTCCTCCACTTGCACCTGGCTGAATGACCTTGGGCAAGCCATAACTCTGGCACAACTGTTCTTGAAAAAGAGCAGTTTCTGTTAAGAGCTCTCTCAGTCCCACCTACCTCACAAGGTGTCTGTTGTGGGGAGGGGGAGGGAAAGGAGTTTGTAAGTCGCTCTGAGACACCTTAGGGTAGTGAAGAGTGGGGTATAAATCCAATCTCTTCTTCTTCTCCTCCTCCTCCATTTCCTGGGCTAGAGGACTGTTGAATGAGATGATCTGGTAGAACCAGGCTTCCTAACCTCTCCCTGACAAAGATCAGGCTCAACCCGATGTGGAATCTGTGGAGAATGTCTCAGATTCCGCATAGATCCTGCTCATTTTGGCATTTCCCTGGCCATGCCAGGAACAGGCTGTAAGCCAGACTAACATAAAACTGTTGCTATTTTGCTGACAAGTGTTTTACTGCTCCTTTTCCACACAGTTTTGCTCTGCCTTGGTTTCCTTACAGCAGTGCTGTTTTGGGGAAAATCAGTAAGGCATAAACCTCTACTTGTTCTGCTTCTGTGTTTCTCCCTGCTCTGCTGCAGTCCTTCCCAAACCTGTTTTGGAAAGATCACAGTTAAAGCACCTTTGGACTCTGTGAGAACAGGAAGGTGTGCATTTTTGGAGGTCCCACCAACCTTGGCACCACTTTCCTCGCCTTTCCCTCCACACACATTGGGGGGAACGGCTTTAAAAAAAAACTTGGGAAAACAAAGTTGCACTTACCTCTAACTATTGTTCATGAGGATCTTCTGTGCAGGCACACATGGGGGGGGGACTGTGCATGAGCAGGCCTGCCATTGGATAGGTATTTACAGCTAAAACTCTACAAGGGGCGCTGCGCACCAGAGTCAGAAGCTTGATCCCACCCAGGGACCACATGTTCCTGTGCAGCAGCAGCAGCAGCAGCCCCCCCCCCCAAAGTACCTCTAGCGCTGCCGAAGCCAGAGCATGCAGCGGGGCAGGAAGTTAGTACCTGCACAGAAGATACTCGGTGAACAATAGTTACAGGTAAGTGCAACTTTGTTTTCATCACTGAAGGGACTCCACAGCCAATGTAGCTTTGACAAATCCGACACAATCCAATTTGCCATTCTTTGCTGTATGGTGTGGTGACTTATTAGCTCTTTGTTTCACTGTAGCTGGAGATTCCAAAAACACAACCTTCTCCTTCAGTGGGGAAAGAGAAACTGGGGGGGGGCATTCTACACAGGAGCATGTGGTCCCTGGGCGGTAACAAGCTTCTGACTTTTCCATGCAACACCCCCTGCAGATTTTTAGCTATAAAGACCTATCTGATGGCAGGCCTGCTCATGCACAGTGCCCCCAATGTGGGACTGTATAGAAGACTGAAGATGAACTGCTAGCGCACTACAGCATTAAGATTACAATCCTCTATTGCTAAAATCTACTAGTCCTCAGCTTTTTAAAAGTCTCTAGCCCTTTTTGTTGTGAAAATGAAAAGAGCAAGATAATGATTTTTTTTTAAAAAGCTGAGAACTAGTACACTGTAGCAACAGACTGCTCTAAAGTTACTGTCCTGCAATAATATAGAAATCCCTGATTTTTTAAAGCCCTCTGGTGTGGGGGGAAGGTAGCTGCAGGGGGCTGAGGCAAGAAAAGTGCACAGGAAACTGCTGTGTGGGTGCTCTGTTGCTAATGCAAATGCCTCCACATTCACAGCAGCAACAAGAACTACACAGATATTCACTTCCATATGGAAGCAGTGCTGGAATGGTTTCATTTACTTTATTCTCTGGACTTTCAGCAAAGAACCTCCTAAAGCATTCAGCAAAGAACCTCCTAAAGCATTCAGGACCTGGAGGAACACACAGTGGCAGTCCTGGGCTATATTAAACACTATATAGACAGTGTTACTGTGGAGAGGTGCATACGGGTCTATCCCAATCAAAAACCCTGGATGACGAGAGAGGTACAGTGACTTTTGAGGGAGAGGAATATGGCCTTTAGGTCTGGAGACATGAACCTTTATAGCTCTGCCAGAGCCAACCTGAAAAGAGGCATCCGACAGGCTAAGCTGGGCTACAGGCAGAGGATTGAGGATAAATTCAATACGAATGACATGCAGCAGGTGTGGCAGGGGATTCAGAATATTACCAATTATAAA